CCCCAAAACCCCAAAACCCCATTTTAATAAAATTGGTAGTGCTTAGGAATGGAGAAGTTTGATGATAATTAACAATAATATCTACTAACTTTAGATTTATTTCTAATTGTTTTACAATTGAGTTTATCATTAGGGAGCTGGTGCATCATCCTTCATCTCTACATCATTTTATTTAGATGGCTCTTATTGTTGCTGTTCAGCCTTTGGTTATTCTTGCTTAGGTGGAGTATTGAAAAGCTAATTTATTGTTTATTTTGCAACATCTAGCTTGAAATTAACCTCATCAATGTTGAATCCTGAATCTTAGAAAGCTGGTTTGCTTGCAATACTTTATAGAATAGTTTCAATGTATTGATGAGTTTCTCCAAGCTTGTTAATGATGTCTGATCTTGTTTGATCTGAGATATTAGCAGTTGCTATTTTATCATTGACTTCCTGTTGGAATGTTTTAAACTGGTCAACAAAGATGGGGAAATCTTGATAGAAAGCAGCTCTCTGCTTAATGGGAACTCCTACACTCTTGAACTCAGCAAGCTTTTGTTTATATTCATCCTTTTATGCATTTTATCCATCTCCATATATCCAATCAACAGCATGATTGAGTTTGTTCAGGAATTCTCCTTTGACTGCTGGATCAATATACTTCTCAAGGTTTCCATACTCTTAGATATTGTTTCTTATGTCGTAAACGAATGATTCAAGCTCATTCTTGACTGCCTTGAATTCAAGGATAGACTCATCTTCATTAAACCAAGCTGCTTCTGCCTGAACAAATTAAGTCTTGACGTTTGGAGGAATTGCGTGGGATGAGGAATCAACATGAATACTGTGAGTGCTCTTTTTGTTCTTTTTTCTTACCTCAAATTCTTGTTATGGGGCAGCTTCCTTCTTTTGCTCTTCCTCCTTCATTGGCTGATCTTGAGTAGGAGCTTAACCTTCTGGCTGAGTTTCAGTCTTTGGGGCTGCTTGGGCTGGAGTATCCTTTTTTACTGGGATTTTTTCCTCCTCGACCCATTCCTCTTATAGCTCAGCTGATTCAAGGCATGGTATTTGATGGATATTGTTGCTAACTCTCAAGATGAATGAGAATTTATTATTGTGCTTTAGTTTAGCTTCTTTGATTTTGTATTAAGCAACTTAAGTTGGAATACCTAGAAGAAGGGGAGTTCCGTTTGTATAGTGAACAAGTAAATCCATGCCTCCCTTTTTATTCTCAAAAGTTATAGTCTTTGTTGAAGGGAATGAACTTCCAACTGGGAAGAGTTCCTTAGTTACAACCTTTGTCTCTTCTCCATCAACTGGGAAGAAGGAATAAGAAATACTCACTGGATATTCATTATATTCTTGAACTTCATAGTCTGAGACTTTGAATAAGGGGCTAAGCATTGCAGCTTACAAACTGGCACCTCTAGCAACACACTCAAGAGAATTGAGAGTTCTGCTGACTTAGTCTTTTCCAAATACTTCTTTGCATCTTTCTTGCACAATTGGAATTCTAGTAGCCTCACCAACCATTTCAACGCTGTGAATTTATTCTTTCTTGAGTCCTATATAAATAATGATTAGGATCTTTTGATTTATAAATAATTTCTAAGAAGTGTTCCATGCATCAATTTTATTAAGGGTATCGAAATCCCTTAAACAATATTAACGTCAAGGATCAATATAGCAAGAGTAACTAAGAGGCAGCCAATTATAGTGATTGCTTCAACTCTTTTCCTGCATACTTATTTCTTAGAATGGCCATTTAACTTACCTGATTGTTCAAGAGTCTGTTGTAATAATTATGTCATCTTGTCAATGTATGGCATAATCATTTGCTCGAATTCATCTCTCTTGATGTTTCTATGTAAATCTTCATCCTCAAGAAGACTTTCCAAGTGAATAGTTGCCTCGATGTTAGCACTCAAGATTTTTCTTTGTTTTTCAATGATATCTAGCATTCTTAGTCTAGCTCTGATGTTCTTTCTTGGATCTGAACCAACTTTTTTAGTGAATTGATCTCCTAGAAGATCAACTAAAAGATAATCGAAGTTTCTAGCACCAATGTTTCTGTCACTTTTGTGAATGATAATCTTCATCTTGCCCTTCAAGAAACTGGCAATAGTAACTGTGCACTTGCTATGGCCAAGATCAACAAAGGCGACAATTCTTGGTTCTTTCTCATGTAGATCTGGTCTTCTGAAAAATCCATAGTTTAGAGCGATAGCTGTGCTTTCATTCAGGAGTCTAATACACTTAATACCCGCAATTTCAGCAGCATCTAGCATTGATTGTCTTTCAGCGTTGCTGTAGTAAGATGGTACAGTTACCACGATATCATTTGAAAGGATATTGGAAATCTCATAGAATTTCTTTACTTTCTTGAGGTAGTAAGCAACTGCTTGCTCTGGGGTGACTATTTGTGTTTAGCCTCTAATTGAGACCTCAAAACCTACTTTCTTATTTTCGAGAGATACAATTTTATAGGTTGTATACTTTTCCTCTTCTTTGAGTTGTTCAGCACAATCAGTGTTAAGCCCCATAAATCTTGGGAAGAACTGTAAGGTGTTCTTGAAATTTTTCTTTTATTGATTGATTGCTGAATCTCCAATAAGTCTTTCTTCTTCAGTGAAGGCAATAATTACTCTAATCAAATATTAGTACATAATGATTTAAAATGGTTGTATATCACTTACGGGGTTTGTTTGCTTGATGAGTCTGAAAGAATAATATCAATACCTCCTTTTTTGACAGCAGCGAGAACAGCCTTGGATGAACCAATATCAACTCCTAAATCACAAATTTACTCTGAAAATAGTTTACCTATAGCGGAACCTGATTCCATAAATTTGTTAGTTAGTTGTTTAAAAGAAATTGTTTTCTATTTATTAGATTAGAGCGTTTATACTTAAATTATGATTCTCGAATTTTCTAGAATCCACTTCTAGATGTTTTCGTAATTATTTGCTTAACTCTCTTATTTTGATTAACTTCGAACTGTGGGGTTTTGGGGTTTTGGGGTTTTGGGGTTTTGGGG